TCGAACGTCGAATTCGATATTCAATTCGATCGAAGTGTAAGTCTCGTATTTTCACCGGCGTTCGCTGGTTTACCCGTCCGTTTCAGGAGGAGTCGGGTGAGGAGGACGACAAGGCCCGCGTCACGCGGATCGCCCCCAGGAAGTCGTCCCAGACGGTCTCGCAGGCGCACATGTGCAGCTACTGCAACTATACCAGTCCAAAGAGGTGGGTGGAGGGGCTGATTTGGGCAACAGCAAGGGGAGGGTGCGGGATAGCCAGCTGGCTAGATGCCGGGATAGCCAGCTGGCTAGATGTCTCATTCGTTCGGTATTAATATTCCCAAAACTAGTCTTTTTGCCTCTAGTAAAGAATAAGTCGTTCATTCATTCATTCCATTCCGTTCCATTCATTCATTCATTCATTCATTCATTCATTCATTCATTCATTCATTCATTCATTCATTCATCCATTCATTCATTCAAAAATAGATAAATAAATAAATCGTTCATTCATTCGTGATTCATTAATTCATCATCGTATTCGTTTTTGACGGGTTTAACTACATGGAGCGGGATATTATCACACTAGTGCCATAATTTCTGTCTGAATCGTCTTTCGAACTTTTGCTGACGTATCGACATTTTCTGCTTATTCTCAGGTACCTGCTGTCGCGCCACATGAAGTCCCACTCGGAGGAGCGGCCGCACAAGTGCTCCGTCTGTGAGCGCGGCTTCAAGACGCTGGCCTCGCTGCAGAACCACGTCAACACGCACACGGGCACCAAGCCGCATTGCTGCAAGTTCTGCGACGCCAACTTCACCACCTCGGGCGAGCTGGTGCGCCACGTGCGCTACATCCACACCAAGGAGAAGCCGCACACCTGCCCAGAGTGCGACTACTCGAGCGTCGAGCTGAGCAAGCTGCGCCGCCACATGCGCTCGCACACGGGCGAGCGGCCCTACCAGTGCCCGCACTGCACGTACGCCTCGCCGGACACGTTCAAGCTGAAGCGCCACCTGCGGATCCACACCGGGGAGAAGCCGTACGAGTGCGACATCTGTGGCTCGCGCTTCACGCAGAGCAACTCTCTGAAGGCGCACCGGCAGATCCACTCGGGGGAGAAGCCGGTCTACCACTGCGAGCTGTGCCCGACCACCTGCGGACGTAAGACCGACCTGCGCATCCACGTGCAGAAGCTGCACACCTCCGACCGGCCAATCAAGTGCAAACGCTGCGGGAAGAGCTTCCCGGACCGCTACTCGTTCAAGGTACGCCACTTCAGCGGAGTTGAGTAGTGAGTGCAGCAATTTTTAAGATTGGATGTGAGAGAATTGGCTATTACAATTCCAAGCACTGATATATTTATTGACTCTAACTATTTCATAACTAACTGTTAAAATTGAACTAACAAATAGGATTGTCGTGACCATGCCGTCTGCTAGGAGTGTCCCAGTGCTGACGCTGTATTTCTGTTTTGTGTTCCAGCTACACAGCAAGACGCACGAGGGTGAGAAGTGTTTCAAGTGCGACCTCTGCCCGTACATGTCAACCTCGCAGCGCCACCTCGAGTCGCACATGCTGGTCCACACCGACCAGAAGCCGTTCGTCTGCCAGCACTGCGACCAGTCGTTCCGACAGAAGCAGCTGCTGAAGCGGCACGTCAACCTCTACCACAACCCCAACTACATTCCGCCACAGCCGCGCGAGAAGACGCACGAGTGCCCCGAGTGCGGCCGCGCCTTCCGCCACAAGGGCAACCTGATCCGCCACCTGGCCATCCACGACCCGGAGGCCAGCGCCGCCGAGAAGCAGCTGGCCCTTAAACTCGGACGGGAGACCAAAGTGACGGTAAGGGCGACAATTCAACCGCTGCGACACTGGACAGTTTTATGAATGTCAATTTCTTATATTTTATTTGTATAGCTGCCATCCAGAGCTCTTGTTTGTATTTTGACATCGTTAGTAATCTAGTGATATCTTGAACGAACGATTCAACACAGTTTGTCTATCTATACCTGACTCACTGTTATTAACGATGATAGCTTTTTTAATTTAGAAAAATAAGTGATGGTTTTCGAGCTTTGTTGCGATCTCTTTTTTCTCTGTTGCTCTAGTTTCTACTGGCGCCAGTTTCTTGCGTGTCGCCGAGCGCTGTTAGTGCCAGAGCGTTGCCAGAGCGCTAACCAACACTCCTGTGATCCCTTCCGCCAGGCGCTGGACCAGCAGCCGATGGAGATGTACGAGGACGAGGGGGAGGAGGAGGTGGGCCTGGGCGGCGAGGCGCTGCAGCAGGGCCGCGGCGGCGGCGCCGAGCAGAAGATGGTCGCCGTCCAGGGTCAGGACGGACAGCAGTATGTCGTTCTGGAGGTCATCCATCTGCAGGTGAGAGTCTGTGGGGCTTCGTTAGACAAGGAGGGAGGCGCTGGGGAACGGGAGAGTCCGGAGTTTGGGAGGAGTGGGTACGTTTCAGTTGAGGTGTGATAAAATGACGTGATTGGCGATAGGACAGCCTTGTATCCGACGGCATGTTTATCATGTTTATAGCTGCCTGTTGTGCTTCCGGTGTCCGCCCGCCCGGCCGTGGCTCGTCTCTGACCTCGTCTGATTCCGTGTAGGACGCCAACGGCGAGGAGCAGACGGTGGCCGTGGTGCCCGACTCGGCGCTGAGCCAGGCGGCCGGCGCCGGCGGCAGCGGCATCGACATGCAGCTGGCCGCCGGCCCGGCCGCCTCCTCCATCGACGCCGCCCAGCTGGGCACCGACGTCAGCCTGGCCGACGACGGTCTGCCGGCCGACCTGCTGCCTGAGGCGGCCGGAGGGGGCGCCAGCGGCGAGCAGCCGCGCCGGCCCACCACGCCCGGCGGACGGCGGCGCGTCGACGACCAGGCCGTCCAGAAGAGCAAGCAGGACATGCAGAACTGCTTCGGGTTCGATGTGAGTGCCAGGGCTCAAAATGATCATGCTCTTTGTGGTTAGAATTTGCCTTTTGTGTGCGTACAATTTTTGGTTTTATGTGATTTACCCATCCGGGTTTCGAATATTTCTGCAAATGCAACGATTTATGCAGCTAGCTTTGTGTTCTCTCGTGCCTTTCCCTTGGTCTGAATTCTGACTGCATGCATTTCTGTCTTTCCCGACAGGACGACGAAGAGGACGTGGACTTTCTCGCTGCCGGCGGTAAGAAGGAAACCGTCGAGATGATGTAAGACGACCACTCCTTACCGACGAGAGTCTGCCACACACACATACACACGACTCGAGCGGCAGAAGAGGCACTTGAGCCCCTGTGACCGACGGTAGTGTCACTACACTATGTGAAGCACTGAAGTCAACGGATCTGTGCACAGTTTGACATCTGCGCAACCGGGATGCGAAGAACTCCGAGTCTCCGAGCTATGTAGACAAGTGGTGAACTGCTCTGGATCAGAGCGCTAGTGAATGGGGACGGGCGGGATGGGGCAGGGCATGGGGAGGGTGGGGGTCTAGGTACTAGATAGATTAGGCTGTCTAAAGTGTGCGTGTGTGTTGTGTCGTGCATGTGCTTGTACGGGCGAATCGATTTGCGAGTGACGTGTAGCGTGTGCATTGTAAACTCATGGCTAAGCTGTCGGGTGTTTCTGAATTAATTTTGAGACAATATGCGCGCCGCGGTTCCCGTTATAATTTTGTACATGTTTGTGGCGTTGTGGCACGGTGTCGAACCCTCTCGAATATCCGCGTATTCGAGTCCGCGTGTCCGGTCGGGAACACGGTTGGGTGCCGCCGGCGGTCCCTGCGGCTCTGTTCATGGTGGTTGTCCGCCGCTCCGGCAGTGCCCCGCCCTGGGTTTCCGCGCGGAGATCTCTCGTCCTATCCCTGTCGCGTGTACCGTGGGTACTTCATTATCTGTGTATTCGTGAGTGTCTGTGCATGCACTTTATCCGCCGTGTAGTCTTCTGTGTACTGTGTGTGGCGCATTCCGCGCTCTGCGTCGTAGGCCGCTGGAGGCGACGGCCATCCGCTGGCACGTGCGGTGTCTGGTGCGGTGCCGGTGACTGTCCCGCCGCTGGGAGGTATAGGGGTCGCTGTGTGCGGCAGGGGAGCCGCGCAGCTGGTGGGATCTCTGAGCCGAGAGGACGGGTGCCGCGGTCAGGCGAGCGATGGAACTCTGCACTAAGGGCTGCGAGGATATCGGCACCCGGGGAACCAGCTATGGTTAGCTTGCTGCTGTATGGTGTCATTGCAAACCACCCTGGTCAACGGACATTTCGGTTTACTGGTGTGTATACGGTGTCTCGTGTTCGATGGACGCGTAGTAAGCGGAATTCGGAACTCTGCTCTACATGGTATCATATTTAGGAATAAATATATCTGAAATCATGTGCTTTATAAGTTGACAATGGGCACTGCCTCTGGTTTCGTTTTTGTCGAACCTACCTTGTACGGATTCAAATCAATCAATTACGGGGCCTATAAAATTCCTTTTGTCCGCTACTTGTTGGCGTAGCTGAGATATTTCGGCGAATTCTGGCGATATTGCTAAATATCCTAGGGAAATGCTGTATAACTCCCAGAAGAGTCCAGGCCGTCAAATTAAAACTTACTACCTTAGTGATGACACGTTGACAGTTTCCCGTGAGTCTCGAGTCGACCCACTTGCTAATCGTTCAAGTGATATCACACAATGTAAAAAAATAAATTTTCCCATTGTTTGTCGCTAAATTTGGTAAAAATAAGGCAGTGACAATCTACGAAAGACGTTATTTGCCAAAATGAAATAGAGTGCATGTACGACATGGGATTTTTTGGCGTCCGAAAACATTTTTGCTTCTGTCCTAAAAAGGACAATTGATTAAGCTGCGTTGCCTTACTTTAAGCCAATGAAAGCTTAAAAGTCTGAATTATTATTAATTTGTTTTGATCCAGCTATAAATAAATTCAACTTTGCTCAACGGTCTGAGACTTTTGAAATATATATCTCGATAACTAGCTACTTCATTTGGCAGCCCTTTGTGGCGAGCTGAAAGTGGCAGCCCCCAGCAGCACAACAACATCGGAAGCCAAAGCGAGTTGGAGTGTGGTGGATCTGCGGGCGGCATCAGTTGATGCGTGATTGCGGTGCAAACTGTAGATATATATGCTGTGACATATTTATCAATATATCGTGTCACTGGCGGACTGTGCTACAGTGCATACCTATGTGTCGGAGGTTTTCAATAATCGAGTAGCTGAGAGATCAAAATTATGGTCTGTTTGTGAGGCTTGTCCAAATCTAAAGTCAGTTTTTGCATTTTGCAAAGTTTGAGGAAGTTTGTGAAGCAAAATTGTGTCTTGAAAGAGCAGGTGCTAAGTTGAAAGTTTCATCATTTTTAGTTGTGTGATCCTGACATTGATCACCTCACATTGTAATAATCATGGGGAACTCATCCAGTGGTGGCGCAAAGGAGAAGGCATCTCCAAGTCCCTTGATGGATAAGCGCACAGGTGCTGGCAACTGCTCAACAATTGTCCCTGGGACTGTGACAACATCAGCATCAATGAAGCTACCCATGCCAGACAGAGATACTCTGGAGGAAAAATTCAACAAGGTTTTGGTAAGTGTTCTTAAAGTATTCTCCATCTATAAATGCGGCTCATTTTCTTTCAGTCATTGGGAGCTTCCCAGATTTTCTCACATGATAAACTAGCATCCATTATTGCAGCTGGACATTGGAGGACTTTCTTACTGGTATCAATTCATCCAGTGTCATTGATTGAGGCAGCTACAGCCAACATTAACCCAACAATTGTGTAACGTTGATGCTGTAGGTGCTCTACATACCTGAGCGAACCAGCTGGGGTTGAAAAGGGCAACCTGGAAAGCTTTTTGTACCTTGTATTGTCATAGGCATATCTGGCATAATGTTATTACAGGTTCTAACTATAGGAGAAAAGGTCCAGTGGCTTCCTGTTTCATCTCCCAGGGATTTTTAATACCTAGGTAGCTGATTGTAGAAAGCAAGCTATGAGGTTGGACACAGTTTGTCATAAGCTTCTGGCAGATTGAATTACTAATGAACAAGTTGGCATGTTGAACAATACTGACAAGCTGAAGCTAATGTGATAAGCTGTCCTGATTTGTAGTTTTGGTAATGGTTGTGCATGCTTTATATTGTGGTCTCGCCAAAGATGGCTTCATGTTTTCTGTGTTAGATGCTGAGTCATGCAACAAGCAGCAGTTACTGTTGCCTAGAGTGGTTTTCCTGATCCATGCTTCTGTACCTCATTGTATGAGCTGATGTGTCGAAGCTTTCCGTCGACGTGTCGACAGACCGGAAGGCCTGGTACCGCACATACGGTCATACCCTCTCGGCGGCTGACGGGGCGGCTGACGCGGTCGCTCCCCGCCCGGCCCGCCTCCTCTCGTCATGCGCCACGGATGACGCAGTCGCCACACGTGACGTCATGGTCACCGGAAGCGGCGCGGTCGGTCGCTTCCGGCGCGGCTGCAGGCGCCGCGGCGCCCCGTCCGTCTGGGGCGAGGGTGCGAGTCGCGAGCCTGCAACCTGCACCCTCCCACACACCCACAGTACGCATCGCCAGCGCACCCAACACCGAGCCTACCCCCTAGTTCTGTGTTTGCCTGACACACTCATCCATCTATCCCATACACCCGGCATTCTCCACACTCACACCTCCATGCACCCAGCATCTCTTGCGTGCAATCCTCCCCATGCACCCACCCCTCACATACACCCATTTCCTCCCACGCACCCGCCACCCACGCGACCACCAACACACCCACCTGGTCCCACCCCGCCGTCCTTCCCGCTCGCCGGCCGCGTCACCGTCCTCAAAGTGGCGACGATTGGCGTGATTGTTGGCGAGGGAGCGAGTCACCGACGACGCATCGATCATCTGAGGCCGATGACAAAAACGGTGCCGTCGTCTGACGCACTCTGAGGTCACCGGACACGGGGTAGGATGCTGCGTGATCGGCACATCCGCTCAAGGCGCTCGTGGGTGGTGCTGAGACCTGAGTACACACCGAGTCTGCTCAGTAGAGGTGGCAAAAGATGAAAATTTTGGGAACCAGACTCGAACCAGACCCGGCTGGACATTTCTGGAACCAGTCGGACCCGGTCTTAGTTGGAACCGGAGCCAGTTGGACCCGTTCCCAAAAAGTCAATTAATACAAACTACTTGAAGGAATCATTAGTTGCATCATGTAAAACAGCCTATTTCCCACTGGGGATACTCATGAGCTACTGTGTGCAAAGAAACATACACTTCATATTTTGGAATAATGTGTAGTGTGCAAGATGTATAGGTTATGGCAGGACCCGGTTGGACCCGTCAGAAAATATCCAGGAACCGGTCTGGACCCATATGGGTCCAGACTGGTTCTTTGGACCGGGTCCTCGGGTTCACATTTTGCCACCTCTACTGCTCAGGCTCAGATGTCCAATGGGAGCTACCATTCGGGCTGAACTTCATTAGTTTGAGAGGCGATGGTTGTTTGATGAGTTGCGCCGCTGCTTAGTGGCTGCCACTTGCATGCAAGGCAAATTTCGTATTTATTAGCCTGTTGGTACCGTTATGGTGTCCCTAAACACAACTCAACATCACCCTACTAAAATATATTGCTCATACAGAAACAAACACTGTAATGGAGCAATGCATTTCAAATTCATTTATCAGTATCGTATATATTAGCCCAGACTTTGGTGGTATGAACCTTTGCATTTGAATAGATAAACAATATCATTTGACAGTCGTTGAGCAATTGTTTTGGTAGTGTTTATGCAATCTGATTTGTACATTATGTAACGTGCATGACCTTTCATATTTGATATGATAACAGCATTGGGATGGTGCTCTGTCCACAATTCCATCCATCTTATTGCGTTAGTATTCTGGTGTAATGTCCATCGCATGTCAGCTGTTCTCCTATTCCAGCCTTCATAGAACGAGTAGAGGGGTTGTTTTGACCAACAATTACCAAAATTTCTCAAAGTTTCGTGAGACTCGAAGCCCTAAGCATTGAAACATGTAACCTTTTCAGACTTCAGGAGCTACGCGCATGTTTGCACAAGGTCCAACACGTAACAACAATGCATAGACCCGGGAACAGGGGGGGGGGGCAGCGGGGGCGCTTGCCCCCCCAACTTGAGAGCCGAGGGGGCGGCGCCCCCTCAACATTGAGGCAGCGAGAAAAGATCTTTCCTCCCTTTTCCGGACTTTTTTCCTTCTTGTTTCCTTTATAAATCTACACATCAACACATGACATTTTCCTTGCCATCTGAATGGTTTCTGCTGATACAGTAGGTATCGATTTGACAACATCTGCTATTGTCATCCCGCTTTGATTTAGGCCTGATCTTGGCCATAAGTTTGACAGGCCAGATTTTATACTGCACCAGCTTGAGTCAGCTTTGAGAAATACATAACGTACTACAACGGTGGTAAAATCGTTGCTATTATAGGTATTGTGGCGTTGTGGGTTGTCGCGTGCCGGCCGCCGGGCCACCGGCGCCAGCTGACCGTGCCTGAGGCCGGGACGGTCACGTGACTGGGCACCGGCGAGGGACCCGTTCCGTCTGAATACAGTCAGTCTAGACCGAGACCTCGTTGTGTTTCATTGGCGACGAGTGCGGAACCAGCCATGGCGTGGCTTGGGGTGCCGCCCGTGTTTAAGCGGAACGAGGAGAGCTTTGGTGCCTATGCCAGGAGGCTAGAACAGTTCTTTGTCGTGAACGATTTGCTTATTCCCGACGACAAGAAGGCCGCGGTTTCAGTGGACGCTAAGCGGCGTGCTGTGCTCCTGACTGCTCTGGAGCCGGACACATTCTCGCTCCTGGAGGACCTGCTTGCCCCGGCGGGGGTAGCTGAGGTGACCTGTGCCAGAATCATCGAGGTGCTCACGTCTCACTTCGAGCCGGATGAATCGGTGATCCTGTCACGGCACCGATTTCACACCTGCAGCCGGGAGGATACCGAGACGGTGTCGGCCTTCCTGTCCCGGCTGCGTCACCTGGCTCGGCCGTGCCAGTTCACCTGCTGTGCCGGGATACTGGAGGAGATGCTGCGCGATCGTTTCGTCAGCGGTATCCGGAATGAGCGCCTGCAGTCCCGGCTGCTCAGCGAGAAGAACCTCACTCTACAATCGGCTACAGCGATTGCGACAGCGCATGAGGCAGCCGCCCGCCAGGCCGGCGAGATCGCCCAGAGTCAGACGGGCCCGTCTGGCGAGTCAGCTGTGCACCACGTGTCCGGTGGGGAGCGGCCAGCGGCGGTCGGCCGGCTTCATGCGCCTGCCCGGGGTGGTCGGGCCGGTCCCTGCCCTCGCTGCCCTCGCTGTCTGGGGCGGGGTCACTCATCGGAGAAGTGTCCGTTCCGCAGGCGAGTGTGTTTCTCGTGTGGAAAGCTTGGACATACCCGAGCCGCGTGTGCGGCCACTCGACGTGCGGGCATTGACCAAGTGCAGTGTGACGCGGTTGATGTGGGGGCTGACGGCTCTCAGCCGGCGATAGTGCCATCGTCGGCCAGTGCTTCGGGACGTCCGGAAGGGGCAGCGGCCTCTGCCAGCGGGTCGGTGAGCGCGGCGGTGGAGGAAGAGGAGCTGTACTCGCTGTTCCGGTGTTCGGGCGACCGGCGCGCCCCGATCAAGCTGAACGTGATGCTGGATGATCGGCCCGTCTCCATGGAGCTGGACACTGGCGCTGCGCTGTCTGTTTGTGGTGAGAGTGTTTTCAGACAGATTTGGCCTGATAACCCGCCCGTCCTGGGCAGCTGTTCGTACCGTCTCAGGACATACAGCGGGGAAGTGTTACCTGTGTGTGGGGAGGCGACTGTGCGGGTTCAGTATGGGCAGCAGGTGGTCCGGTTGCCATTGGTGATTGTGAAAGGGGAGGGACCCTGCCTGTTCGGTCGTAACTGGTTAGAGGCCATTAAGCTGGATTGGCCAGCCATAGGTCGGTTGACAGCTCATCCCCAGGTCGAGCCTATTCTGGCGGAGTTTCCGGAAGTATTCCGGGACGGCCTGGGCTGCTACCGCGGTGACCCTGTTCATATTGGTGTGGATGGTAACGTTCAGCCCCGGTTCTTTAAAGCCAGAACCGTTCCTCTGGCATATAGAGCGCAGGTTGATTCTGAGCTTGACAAACAAATCAGCGAGGGTCTCTGGGAGCCGGTCTCTAACAGTAGATGGGCCGCACCACTAGTGATCGCACCGAAAGCAAACGGTTCACTGCGTATCTGTGGAGACTATCGTTTGACAGCTAATAAAGTGGCCACGCCGTATCAGTATCCGTTGCCGCGGGTGGAAGAGCTTCTACCCAAGCTGGCGGGAGCGACCGTGTTCAGTAAGATAGATTTAAAGTGTGCTTATAACCAGCTGCCATTAGATGAGAGCTCCAGACAGTATCTCACAGTGAATACCCACCGTGGGCTGTTGAGACCGACTCGTCTCAGTTTTGGGTACAGTTCAGCGCCGGCGTTGTTCCAGAAAACCCTCGAAACGCTCCTAGCGGGCATTCCCGGTATCGGGGTTTTTCTGGATGACGTGGTTGTGTCTGGGGCAGACATTACCTCTCACAACGCCGCGCTGAGGGCC